GCATGATTTACCTATTTTTAACTAAACACTACCAATTTTTAAAAAGATATTTTCAGTCATGTACAGTATATTAAAAGACTGCCAAATACACGCTGAATAGTGATAATCCTACTATTTATTTTAAATTAATATAGAGTCATAACTGTACTTTATAATTTTAAATTATAGGACTATATCGTTATTTTAATAAACGTGATAAGATCAAATGGTTATTTTTTTTGCAGTAAATTTGAATATACATTTATTTTAAAGGTCAAGGGTTCAAATTCTGATCCTCACATTCTTTAAAAAAACAACTGCCCACATCACATATATGTTTTTGTAAATAAAACTATTTTTTTTTTTTGTATTTTTTTTGGTAGGAATGAATTAAATTGAGAACAATGTTTTGGACCTTAAATCTTCCCTTTTTCACATTTCTTTGTAGAAGTTATTGTTTCATTAAAGGGCCCTAACTAAATTTGAATTGTCTTAATTACTTCCTTTCTAAATGAGATCTAATCATATTAGTGTACACGTTGAGTAAGCCACACGTTTCTAAATTCCAATCAAAACTTTAAGACGTCAAAATATTGATTAAATGAATATTAATCCATTACCTTTCAGTCGATAGGAAAATAATTTAGCAGTCAAGACATCTTATTTATTTATTTATTTTTAATTAGAGGTATGAGGTTCATCATCTATCCCTATATTTATTATGCTAAAAAAATTTATGTACATTTTTAATCATAAAATGGATAATATCAAAACTGATAAATGTAGGGACCAAATTAGAATTGATAAGGTAATTTGAATTAAAAAATTATTATTATACTTTTTAAGAGCCATTTTTTATTCGTAGGTTTCGTTGAGATAGATTTTTATAACTTGCATTTGGATGGTTGAATCGTCCCTCTTACAATAGTTCAATATATTTGAATCATAATTCTAAATAGAAAAACTTTAATTAGAGAAAAAAAAATCTCATTAACATTCATCTAGATAACATAAACGAGGGTAGCAAGAAGCTACAACCAACATCAGCTAATCAACACGATTTTAATACACATCCTCTTGAGAGCATTAATATACAAATTCGCAACGAAAATCAAAACGAAATAATTACTTCCTAATAAATATTTTGAAAGTGGGCAAAATGAAATAAAACTTTAGGGTATCTAGAAACATCATGGTGAGGCAAAATGACCGATTTGACCTTCCACGGCTCTTCCTTATCAACTAGTACGCGGTTTGGGTGGCTCAACCTCAAACATTGAACAAATATGACCCCACCAAGGAATGGCAAAAGTCGTAAATAAAGTGTCCTTGGGAGGACAAAGTAGTAATAACACTAGATACGGAATTTGGAAAACAACGCAAAGAACACGTGTTGGAAATGCTGTACCAAACGATTCTTTCTCCTCTTACTGTATTTGCAGGAAACCGCCAACTAAAATCCCCACATATTCCTCGTGCTTTTATTTATTTTTATTTTTATTTTTATTTTTTAAATGAAAATAATAATTATCTTTAAAAAAAGAAAAAAAAAAGTCCGACCAAAAATCAGACCCACCTCCGGCTGCTGCTTTATAAAGACGTTGCGGAGAAACTTAACTCAATTCTTCATCGGAATCTCTCTTCGCCTTCAACATCGGACCTTTTCAATCTTTTTCTTTGATTTTCTTCTTCGAATTCATCATGTCGAGCTCCTCCGGATTCTCTCAGGCGTCGTCGGCGCCCAACTCGCCGGAGAAGCGCGGCTTTGCTCCCGCCGCCGGTGGTCTGGTTTCTGGGAGAGATCTGAATCGGGGTTTCTCGTCCAATCTTCGGCGAGGAAACGGTGAGGATTTGATTTTGTTTTTGTTTTCTGGGTTGGGATTAATTTTGGGGGTTTTGTCTTGAAATCGAA